AGTGATAGCGCACGCCTGTAATTCCGGCTACTTGGAAGGCTGAGGCGGAAGGATCGCCGGAGCCCAGCAGGTCGAGGCTGCGGTGGCCGAGAGCGGCCACTGCACTCCAGTCTGGGCGACAGAGTGAGACTCCAACTCAAAAAAAAAAAAAAGAAAACTGGTTTAAGAATGTAATATTTAGGTAGGGTGCAGTAGCTCACACCTGTAATCTCAGCACTGTGGAAGGCTAAGGCAGGAGCATTACTTGAGGCCAGGAGTTCGAAACCAGCCTGGGCATCACAGTCAGAACTAATCTCTATAAAAAAAAAATCAAAAAAATTAGCCAGTGTGCGCAGCTGAAGTCCTAGATACTTGGGAAGCTAAGGCAGGAGAATTGCTTTAGCCCAGGAGGTTAAGGCTACAGTGAGCTGTGATTGTGCCCCTTGCTTATCCTGCACTATAGTAGAGTGAGACCTTGACTCAAAAAAAAAATGTAGTATTTAGTATTTATCTTCTTTCTTTTTATAAAAGTTAAATATTTCCACAAACCAGGCAACTCAGGTATTTGCCATCTTAGATAGTACCTTGCTCTGCCTGCTCCACCAGCATTTTTTGTGCATTAAATCATTTCACAACTTGAACACCATTGACATCTCTGTATTTGACTGGTTGGTCTAATTCATCAAGTGTGATTTAGGTATTCTGCTTGATAGTCTCTTTAATATAATAATTACATTTATATTTATACAGGATCTTCTCCATACTGTCTTCAAGAATGGGAAAGTGACAAAAAGCTACTCATTTGATGAAGTAAGAAAAAATGCACAGCTGAATATTGAACTGGATGCAGCACCTCATTAGACTTTGTTTTACAACTGGGTGTGTGTTGTGTGTGCGTGTGTATGTATACACCTGTGTGTGAGTATGTAATACATGTTTATTGTACAGATATATGGGGTTTCTTTGTGTTTTATGATACATTACAGCCAAATTATTTGTTGGTTTATGGACATATTGCCCTTTCATTTTTCCCCCAGTGTTTAGGTGATCTCAAATTAGAAATGCACTTAACTATGTAAGAGATTAATGCTAAAGTAAGCTTTTTAGGGCCCTTTGCCAATAGGTAGTAATTCAATCTGGTATCTTTTCACAAATAACAGAACTAAGAAACTTTTATATATAACTGATCACATAAAACAGATTTGCATAAAATTATCATGATTGCTTTATGTTTATATTTAACTTGTATTTTTGTACAAACAAGATTGTGTAAGATATATTTAAAGTTTCAGTGATTTAACAGTCTTTCCAACTTTTCATGATTTTTATGAGCACAGACTTTCAAGAGAATACTTGAAAATAAATTACATTGCCTTTTGTCCATTAATCAGCAAATAAAACATGGCCTTAACAAAGTTGTTTGTGTTATTGTACAATTTGGAAATTATGTCAGGACATACCCTATAGAATTACTAACCTCACTGCCCCTTGTAGAATATGTATTAATCATTCTACATTAAGGAAAATAATGGTTCTTACTGGAATGTCTAGGCACTGTATAGTTATTATATTCCTTGGTCATTGTATTGTACCAGTGAAATGCCAAATTTCAAAGGCCTGTACTGCAATTTTATATGTCAGAGATTGCCTGTGGCTCTAATATGCACCTCAAGGTTTTAAGGAGATAATGTTTTTAGAGAGAATTTCTGCTTCCGCTACAGAATATATACATAAATGTAAAATATTGACAAAAGTGGAAGTAGTGTATTTTAAAGTAATTACACTTCTGAATTTATTTTTCATATTCTATAGTTGGTATGACTTAAATGAATTACTGGAGTGGGTAGTGAGTGTACTTATTTTAAATGTTTTGATTCTGTTATATTTTTCATTAAGTTTTTAAAAAATTAAATTGGATATTAAATTGTATGGACATCATTTATTAATTTTAAACTGAATCCCTCAATAAAAGTCAAGTAAATTCTTAAATGAGTAAATTATCCCAGTGAAAAGCATGATGGCATTGAATTTCAAAAGAAGAAATTTAACTAAAAGCAGAAAGTTGGCTAAATTCAAAGTGCTTGATATCAAAATATTCTAGACTGATTAACTGAATCAGTTATCACATCTGACTAGAGACCAGTTTCTTCCAAATGATTTTTATATATATGTAGGTCTGCTCTTTTAAGGAAAGTGGAGCTGGCCATCGGTGGCCCGAAGGCGAAATTTGGACTGCTCTTTTCTTACGAAGGCATACTGTACTGGCAGCAGGAATTGAGTAGTTGCAATAGAGCCCAAATGGTCTACAGAACCTGAAGTGTTTACTATCTGGCCCTTTACTCAAAATTACACAAGAAGTCTCCCAACCCCTGTTCTAAGAAGAAGAGTGCCTTGCATTTTAAGGGAAAGTTGGTTTCCAGCGAAGGGAGGCGGCTAAATAATTGATGTGGAGTTTACCTCTTTTGGCCTTTCTTTTCTCATTTAAGAACCTGATACTGGAGGGCTGATTTAGAAAATTTTTAACAACTTAACATTAAATGTGAAATTGTAAAATTGAAAAGCCATAAGTCATCTGTCTTAAACAGTATGAGAAAAGTTTTATCATTAAAATAATTAGGGTGAGTTATTTTCATTAAATGTCTTTTATAAGTGGAATATAGGTTTTCCAGATGATTCTCAACACTTACTTAGTGAGAACAATGAACATAATTCACTTTGAGTAAGAGTCTTCATCCTGTAATCTCCGATAAAAATAATTTTAAGGTTTTTAAAAAATGTATTTAAGTAAAGATTAGTAGTGTTAAAAAGACCAAACCTTTCTTCACAAAATGTACTAAGGAACTTATAAAAATTTTTTTTTAAGTATACTTATTACCAATAACAACTTGGATAACCACCCATCATTTTGTATATCAGCTGTTTAAACATTGGAATTATACTGCAGACAGTATTTTTGTGTTCTGCAAATTTCAGCAGCTTCAGAATAGAGGAGTTTTATTTTGAAACTTTTAGTGAATGCTAAAAGCTGTACAATTGTTCACAACCACATATTAGGAGGTAGAATTGGTTAACCCTATTAGCTCTTAGCCACTGAGAACTGATTAATCCTGTCACTCAGCACTGAGTATTCGGCTGTCCCCATTCTGAGCCTCAAATGGTTAACATGAATGTCAACTAGAACTCTGCTGTGTATCACCCTTAAATCAGTCTAACTCTTCCAGACAAAAGCAAATGACATTTAAGGGTTTAAATCATTAGCTCTATGGTTGACATTAATCCCTCCTTGATTCATATCATCATCAAGTATTTATATTTTAAATAGGAGGTAGAAGTTCTGTGTTAAGGCACTTTATTTGTACACTAAAAGTAAAATGGTTTCTATGATTATCCCTTATTTCCTTTTTTGAAATACATTGTTATACACAAATTTTATAATGAAATCCACCTTGGAAAATTAGAAAGGGAAAAATGGCAAGGCATTTATTGTTCTGTTTGCCATAACTTAGAACTCACACTTAAACAAGTGCTTTATAGTTTTACATTCCTTTTTAACCCATTCAGTGGAGAATGTCAGTTTTTCTCCCAAGTTGTATGTTTATTCTAATATGTACTCAACACCAAGTATAAAGATGTAATGAACATGGAAATAAAATTTAGCTCTATTAGTGAAGTGTTAAGTTTGTGTGCTTCAAGTAATACCATTTCAAGAGCTACGTTTTTTAGGTGTTACTTCAGTTCAGAGGATGGGAGAGGGGAGGTGTCAAGGTTGACTCCTAACTTCTGCCTTGTGCAACTCTATGGCTGGCAGTGCCTTTTACCAAGAGAGAACACTAGAGGGATGCCAGATTTGGGAGGAAAGAGCAGATTCCTCTGTTAAGATTTGAGATGCCTTTGGGACATTTAAATGTGGATATTAAGCAGGTAATTGATAACACGGGTTGGGGACAGAAGGGTCTCAAGGTATGAATTTGATATATATGAAGTCATTGGAGGTACACGATAACAGGTAGTTTTTTAGGAGTTGGCAAACCCCAAGCCATAGGCCAGATCCATTCCACCATCTGTTTTTTTAATTTTATTGGAACATAGCCACGCCTACTCATTTAATTATTGTCTTTGCTTTCATGCTGCAGTAGCAGAGTTGAGCAGTTGCAACAGTGAAATTGTTGCTGCAAAGCCTAAAATAATTTACTATCAGGCCCATTATGGGAAAGTATGCTAATCTCTGCAATGGCGTGTAAAGAGGATCTAGGGCAGAACCAGGAGTAACTCTTGAAGGTTAAGTGGCTGAGTAGAGGAAACTGGCAAGCTTAGCTAAAGAGGTGAGAGGACAAGCAAGAGGAGTGACATCACAACAGCCAAAGGAAGCATTTTTGTCAACTCAGGTATTGAATGCTACTAAGAGATCAAATAGAATAAAGAATTTAGAACAGCTGCTGGAGTTAGCCACATGGAAATCATTAGTGCCTTAGAGGCGGTCTCTTCCAGGCAGCAGAGGAGGCAGATGTGGGAGAGAAGCTGTCTTATACAAGCAACTCTGAATCAGGGATGTGCAAAGGAGGAGCAAATGAAGCAACCATGTATCTTTCCTTTCCCCCTTAGCTACTCGACTGCTTTATCTCTGAAAAGGGTCCAGGAAAGAGAGAAGTTGATAGTAAGAAAGGAAAAGGAACCCCTATTGGCTTGGGAGCAGGTGCTTGCCTTAGTTTTCTCTGAAGTCAGAGACCAGATCCCACTTACGGATGGTTTACATTTATTTATGCTCACCCTGGAGAAAAGAAGGCTCACTCTGGTTGTCAACAGAATTCAATTAGAGACATAGTTATCCTGACCAGCTTTATTTCTTAAATTCTGTAATTGGCAACTGAACTGTTATCCTTTGACATAAACTAGGGAATGCCTGTTGTAGTTTGTATTATGATGGATTAGCTGTTGTGCTTACAGGCTCTCTTGAATTGACAAGTTTCATTCTCAGTTGTTCTTCCTGAATAACCAGAAAATTCTACCAGATCTCTGAGCCTGGAAGAAAACTCACCTTCAGCCTCTCACTTTCTAGTCCTTCCTCTTCAGCCAACAAACATGTTCCTGTTTGTCACACCCTTAACAAGAGAGGAAAAAAAAGTAACTCACTTGATAACACTAGCTCTAGTTAAGGTAATACTTTAAAATATAGACCAGAAACCAAGGTATAAACAAATTATTTGTCTAAGTTACCTTATATGTAATTTAGTAGTTTATGACTCTCTAGGGTCTTAGATCTTTAAGAACTTGAGGAGAGCTGTGTACCCCTCTTCCCAGAAAAATTCTCACTTTTTAATTAACATGCATATAATGTAAGGGAGTTTATTTCACAGACTTCACATCGGGAATTCCTCTAGTTAATTGCAGAACAGATTAGGAATCAGGGCTTTTACTCACAGATGTCTCTATTTGAATTTCTAGTGGTACTCGAGAATTTTTAGGTTTTAATCACCTTAAACTGTGGAACAAGGCAAAATAAATAAATATAATTTTAATTCAACTCTCAAAGTTTCTATAGATTTTACTGATGCAGATTCCAAAATCTCTGGCTATTTTAAATGCCCTTTTTATAGGTGGAGAAACAGGGTTAACAAGCAAAATTAAGAAATCTGACCACATGATATATAGGAAGATCAAGAAGAAAACCCCGTAATCTTTGCAAACCAGCAACACCAGACTTTTGACAAAGGCTTTCTCTGTATTTGTATAAGATTACCTTTCTTATAATCAGATTTTGTCTTCAGAAATGTAAGCAGGCAAGGTAATTCTGACCAACACCCCCACTGAAAACAAGGACTGATGGATAACTTTTTTCCTTAAAAGTTTAAAGGTGCCAACCACATTGGCTCATGACTGTAATCCCAGCACTTTGGGAGGCAGAGGCAAGACGGAGGCAAGACAATTGCCTGAGACCAAGGGTTTGAGACGAGCCTGGACACAAAACTTGGTGAGACCTCATCTCCACAATAAATCACGCATGGTGGTGTGCCTATAGTTCCAGCTACTTGGAAGGCTGAGGTGGAAGGATCACCTGAGCCCAGCAGATCCTAGCTGCAGTAGCTGTGAGCATGTTACTGCACTTCAGCCTGGATGACAGAGTGAGACTCTGACTCTAAGAAAATAAAAAAGTAAAATGAAAAAAGTTTAAAGGTATTGAGCTAACAGGATGGTAAGAAATTACCAAGTGAAAATCCAAGTGAAATGGGACCCTGAGAGATAGCGAAACACTGAAAGTGCTTTTGTCCTGCAGTATTTACCAAACCGTGATGATGAGCTTCAGTTTTCATGAACTGAAAGGACATGATGACCAGAAATCACAGACCCTCTTGCCATAAAGCAGCCACCCCAAAGGGATATACTTCAGGCTGAAAGTGAATCAGTAGTAATTTCCACACTCCTAGGAAACGGCAAGCTTTAGTTCTGGGCTAATCAAGGTGTCATTGCAAGTTGGCCCTTACAGTCCAACTTCACATCTACATATTACAAAAAACCTCAAGCTGTAAACTTAGATTAAATTGGACAGCAGAGATTCCAAAATGCCTGACAAAAGTAAATGCAGATTCTCCGAGAGATACTTTCATCCTCAGCCTCAAAGAATTCCCGAAGTCATTTTCTAAGAAAAATGAACAACCCAAAGTAACTAATCACATAGGAAACAAGACATGAATAAGAGCAGCAGAAAAGTGATTCAAAAGTGTTCAAATGCTGAAGTTATGAGACAGGTTATACATTAACTGCTTAATATATTTTTTTAATAAAATATACATTTTAAGATACTTGCAGGGAATAAGAATTTTTTAAAAATTGACAGACTTAAGGGATTAATAGAACTTGTGGAAATGAAAAATAACTGAAATTAACAGCTATAGAGGGCACCGATGACTTGGAAGGCAGGTCAGAAGGAATTCATAATGTGACACAAAGCAAATGCAATCAAAGCTAAGCAGCATGAAAGAGTGAAAAAGTACCTGGGCACCATGACTTGTGCCTGTAATCCTAGCTACACGGGAGGTTGAAGTGGAGGATCACTTGAGCCCAGGAGTCCGAGGCTGCAGGGCACCATGGTTTGTGCCTTATATCTAGCTGCTCAGGAGGCTGAGGTGAGGAGATCACTAGAGTCTCAGGTTGCAGTGAGCCATGATCATGCCACTGCACTCCAGCCTGGGTGACAGAGTGAGACCCCATCTCTAAAAAAAAAGCTAAGTTTTAAAAAGTAATTTTTTAAAGAATGAATGAAAAAGCCTAACATGTCTAATCACTGCTATTGAAGCAGAGGAAAGAAAAATGGGGTAGAAATTATATTTTAGGAGATAAGGGCTCAGGATTTACCTGAGCTGATGAGAAGCAACAATCATAAGCTCAATGAATCCCAAGCAAGAGAAATTAAATCAATACCCAGACTCATTATAGTGAAACTGCAAATCAAAAGCAACAAAAGAAAGTACACTAGCCGGGCTCGGTGGCTCAGCCTGTAATCTCGCGCCTTTGGGAGGCCGAGGTGAGTGGATTGCCTGAGCCTGCAGGTTCGAGACCCGCCTGGGCAGCGAGACCTCATCTCTACAGTAAATCAAAAAATCTGCTGGGCGTGGTAGCACGTGCCTGTAGTTCCAGCTACTTGGAAGGCTGAGGCGGAAGGATCGCCGGAGCCCAGAAAGTCGAGGCTGCGGTGGCCAGGAGCGGCCACTGCACTCCAGTCTGGGCAACAGAGTGAGACTCCGACTCAGAAACAAACAAAAAACAAAGAGACACATCTAAAACAAGATGCCAAAAGTTTGAAAATATTTTTAAATAAACAATTTACTGGAAATAACTGCTGCCATTTCCTTTCAATCCAAGAACTTGTTTGCTCAGGGCTTCTGACCACGCCAGGCTGAAGCAACAGTGTGCTAACAAAGTGTGGCCCTCAAAAGGGACAGCGCATTCCAGCACCGTGCTGTGGCTTTATTTACCAAGCTTTTGGGATAATGCATGCCTCAGGCAAAGAGCTCTTAGTGCCCCCTCGGGCGATGATGACGCACAGGAAACCACATTTAGAAATGTCAGAGGATAGTTTAGTGCAGGAAAAGATGCACTCTGAGAAATAGTGCTTGCTGTGAAGTATTTTTCTGGATCTTCTTGCCTCTCATGTTTATATCTTTCACATCCATTCTCTGTCTTTTGTCTACAAGGTACAATGTTTAGGTACATTATCTTTTTTATTCAGTACTTGGCAGAAGGAGAGGGAGGATCAGAATTACTGTGGGGTTTTTCTGAGACACATATGTTTATTCCTGAAAGTCTGATACATGCCAGGATATGACAATAAAAGGGGCCTGTGTAGGTTTAGATAAAACACCAGAGAACTCTTAAACACCCATCATCTTTGGTTGAGAACCACTACTCTAGTAAACCACTACCCAAATATTGATGCAGGACTTCATCCTTGAGCGTTGGATAAACCATAATACCTCCATTCTAAACGTTGGTGCATAGCATTCTCCCTTATGCTAAAAGGGTGAGGCACAGTGCAGAATGGCCAAGAAGGGTTCTGGGAGGTTTACAACAATTTGTCATCACCCTAGCCTGCCTGAGGAAGGAAAGGTCACTGTATTTTTTCCTACAAGAAGCAAAGAGGAAAATGACTTCACTCTGGGAAAAGGACACA